GTTTGTTGCATTCTTCCTTATTTCTGGCTCTATTTTGTTTGTCAGGTTTATTTTTTGTTCATTACATTTCACATATAACTGAGATTATGAGATACTTGTCTTTCTCTGATTGGCTTATTTCATTGAGCATAATCATCTCTAGGTCCCTCTATGCTGTCTCATTGTATCAGTGAAAATTCTATGTTTTCTTCTAGGATGTTTATGGTTTCACAACTAAACATTTAATTTTTTTTTCCATTTTGAGTTTATTCTTGTGTATGATGTACGTTGGCAGTCTGATTTAATTTTTTTGCATGTTCCTGTCCAATTATCCTAATACCATTTATTGAAGAGACTGTTTTTACTCCATTGTATGCTCTTGCCTCCTTTGTCAAATATTAGTTAAGCATAATGGCTTGGGTTGATTTCTGGGTTCTCTGTTCTGGTCTATTGATCTATATGCCTGTTTCTGTGCCAGTACAGGGCTGTTTTGATTACAGTGTGTTGGACTTACTGATGACCTTAGAGTTAAGGTGTCCCAAGGTGAACTTAAAATTAGAAAAAGCTGGTGAGAAGCTTGGCCCAAATCATCTCAAAAGAAAGACACTTCCTGAATTCACCGGATGAACTGATCTTTATGATGGAATCAAAACACAGTGCCAACCAAATATAAAAATAGCAAACACTAACAAACCAAATAAAATAAAAATGATAAAAAGAAGTTTAAAAAGGAAAAAAATGAGAAAAAAGAAAAAGAGTAAAGAAAAAAGGGGAAAACGAAAAATAAATAACAAAATAGACAAAAACCTCATCATGTCAATGAGAAACTTGGGTCAGATTTCTTCCTGTCATTAAAACCAGCTTCTTGAGCTATAAAAACAACATAATGTGGGCCGAGCCAGGGACTTAAAAAGAGGCTTGAAATTTCATAACAATGACTCTTTATGAGGCCAGTCCAAGAAATGGACCTATCAAAGCGGGATTGTCTATTGTAGTTTGCTTTCTGGACTCTAGAATACTTTACTCTTTTAATAAATTATTGAGGATCCCAAAGAGCTTTTTGGTTAGATGGGTCATGGCTATCAATATTTACCTTATTAGAAATGAAAATCCGATGCTACCGTTGCCTTTTCATTTCCAGTTTGAAAAGCTATAATACTTTTTGGTGTTGAAGAGCTCATACTGTGTACACACACAAAAAGTTATATATGAAGTAAACTGCATTTTTCTTTTTTTATTTTATATATATATATACTAGAGGCCCGGTGCACAAAAATTTGTGCACTGGCAGGTGCGGGGGTGTCCCTCAGCCCCACTTGTGCCCTCTTACAGTCTGGGACCCCTCAGGAGATAACGACCTGCTGGCTTAGGCCCATTCCCAGGTGGCAGAGGGCAGGCCCAATCCCTAGGTGCCTGCCCTGCAGCCCCTGGTCAGG